CCTGTCCGTACGGAACACTGAGTTATATGCGCTACCAACTTATGAATAATTGTTTAAGCCTACGAACCCAAGAGATGGATAATTGGTCTGTTGGACGTATGGTCCAGCGAGCAGCACATAGCGTTGAGAAGACACATTAGAAATACGATTTGAGCATAATCCGTAAACCTCTGTTACAATCACCCACTGCAGTTGTCTCTAAACACTTTACACAACCACCATTGAAGTGCCGTCAACGAGTTGAAACCTTATATGTAAGCTATTGGTAACGCTTATGTAAAAAATGTAAGTTTCCCAGGCATATAGAACACTGAGTCAAAGTCTTTTCCCCGGTTATAAACCCAAAACTCGATAGAAATTCTATACACAAAGACGCTCTATTTTCATTTACGGTTACCCTACACATTATTGCACTTGCGATTAATTAAATCCGTTATGTAAGGAAAAACGGTTTTAATCCAACTTGGTTTGGATTTGCTTTTGAAACTTGATCTGAAATGATTGCGGTATTTGTAAACAATATTCAATTTAAACATATCAGTGACAACTAGAGAAAAATAATCTTGATCCGAACAGCTGTTCGCTATTTCATATGATGATTATGTGATAAACATTGTGAGAAAACTTGACAAAAATCGCACAAAATTGGGTTTTAAACGTCCGTAAGTTTTTTTTACAAAGTAGCGAGGCCATATTTTAATAGCTAAAGACACTTTCGCCAATCCAGTGAATACATTAAAATGATTCGAGGATCTTGATAGGTACTCTCGTTTTCAGGAGAAGGCCGCGTAAAATGGCCTTTGGACCGTGACAGACGGAAGATAGACAACAACGGAATTGAGATAATAATTGATGATTCAGATAATAACGGAATTGAGATGAAACTTTTTTCGGATTCTTGAATGTTTAAAACGTAAAAATAATCTAAAAGTTGATGATTCTGAGCAATGTACAGACAAAACTCTAATTTTATTTATATAGATTAGTACCTGTGGTGATTTTTATTAGAAATTTATTGAAGTAAATAAACAGCAAAGTTAAAAACCATCTGACCAGTGTTTTTATTTAAAAAGTACGTAGGCCTATTTGATTGGCTTTGTTTTCTGAACTAAAATATCTATTTCCTGATCTATTTTTAGTTCCTGTTTTCGAAACATAATTTGGCAAAACAATTATTTATTCATTAAACAACTTGATCGAAAAATAATTTCTAAACATTGGAAGACAATTAAAAAACTTTTGAATTCTAATAAACCTAGCTGTCGTACCTGTGTTTTACATCGGAGAGGATTTTGAAGAGAAAAAGTTTGATACACGTCACATATTTCAAATCCCAATCCAAACACGTCATGTTAACACGTTTACTTCCTTAAATTAAGAATGTCACAATCTCCAATTAACAGGCCCGTAGCAAAAGTTAAAAGTTTCACAAATCGAATCTTTTCTACCTTTTGGACCGCAAAATCAAAGAACTTTATTGACAGCATTTAAAGCTGACTTCGTTAAACATTCTGTTATCTACATTCTTCAAAAATGTAAACATTGTGAAACTTTGGAATCCCATGGGGCGTAACTCAAAGAAAACACGTTAAATCTAATCGGTATATTTGTTAACCAGGTACAGGGCTACCTCTTGAATTGATATAGATAATAAATCGAAAAATAAAGAAATATAAGTTGATTGATTATTGGCTCTTACAAAAGGGTAAACAATCTAGGAACATGATTTAATTAAGTAACCACACATCACTGAGTCTATATCTTCATTCTTTCTTGTAAAAATCGCTTTGATTGTGGCTATATAAAATAGGGAAGTAATATTTCACTGTACAACGAGCTCAAAAAGCTCGAGAACCAGCAATAAGATGGAAATAACCGGCAGAACCTTTAACCATCCACTGGCTCGATAGTCGCTACCCCAGGTCGGTCGGTAGCCGGGTAGCCCATCAATGGAACCCGTTAGGCTCGCCCCTACCTCTCGCCACAAAAGAGACAAGAATTTTGCCTTGTTCCACACGCCTTTGATTGTTTGAGGCGGGAAAACTATTTGTGTGCTACGGCCCGCGCAACACAGGATATTATTTTCGTATTAGTTGGCCTTTTTCCAAGATGACCGTGACCGTTAACTTATTTTATGGACTCCCTTGGAGAATAATTCAAAACTACAAAGAACATTTCTAATCCCACAGTATACTAGCTATTTAAATTATAAACACTTTGGTGTTTGAAAAATATTTTTGGACGATAAATTTTGCAGCTTTTTGAAATCATCCAAGATGGCCGCTTGCCTCCAAGGACTCAACAATAGGCCTAATTGTGCGACTATAAAGCAATAACTTCCCACCTTACGCTTGCGAATTAGTACGGTACATATTTGTATCCACAGTTGCCAGGACGACTATTAAGACGACCAAAGATTACATTGGCATTTAGGTATTTAATCTGTAGAATAGTAATTGTTAAGTAATCTGGAAGACAACTAATTAAAATGAAGTGCGAAAGATGGGTTATGAGAGTGCTCAATGCCTGAAGCATAATCCATTTGTTTGAGGTGCGGATTTTCAAGCTTGTAGAACAAATAAATATCACAAAGTAGAAGGGCAGGGGTGAAAGTGACTGAAGTGACGGGATACCCGGGTGGATTTTCAGTGACTGGATTCCAGTGGTATGCGGTAAAATATATAGTGACTGGCTTAGCAGCACAAATTTTACGTGACTGGCTTTCCCATGCAAATGCGGTGGTGACTGCATTAGCATAGCATTTTTTACGTAATTATATTTTAGTATTTTTAAGAAAAAAAGAGATATATACGTTCAGATATGTCTAGGCTTAAGATATTTACCAACATATATTATATATATATCATAGTCTTGAAATATATTGGGGGGTGCAACTGACTGACTTCCAGTGTATATTTTATGTGACTGGCTTCCCGGGCGCGGCCGTGTATATATATATATATATATATATACATATATAAAAATGTGAACGAATGGTGTTTTTGGCCTCTGGGGACACCAAAATGAAAAAGTAAATCGGTCCCGGGCCTAAGTCTTACCATGAGACCTACGGTAATAGCTACTTCCCTATAGGGAAATTCGCTAATACCCAACATTTGCACTTTTCAAAGATGATTGGGGGGGAGGCTCCCCCCTTGGGTGACGCCCCTGCTTACGAGTGCATGTTCTTACTTGTTACATGTTGCTTTGTTCTTTTAATAAAACTTGGCTACAGCCGGTCCACCTACATGGCATATCTACCATTGTAGCTAATCCAATGCTTTCATCGTGATTAAACATGATTGAAATTGGACATTTCTATATTCTGATTTGAAATGTAAAAATATACCTTAACTTTTTCATTTATAGTGTAAACTGATCAATTTGGTTTACTCTGTCCTTGCTAGATAAAAATACAATCTAGCTGAAAAATAGTACCTTTTCTGTTAATGGTTTGTTATTTAACTAATTTAAACTTTTTTGTTTGTCATTGTTAAACTTTTGATGTTCATCAGTTATGCTAATATTGATCAATTACATATATGAAATGGGAAGTGATTAAAGTGATTCAGACTATGGATATTTTTTACCAGGATTATTAAGAAACTTAAGTATTCATGAGGTTTCAGGGTATGTAATCTGGTTCCTTCCCCAGGTCAAAAACATAACATTATTAGTAAATAAAACCAGGCAAATCTGGAAAATCAAGAAAAACCCTACACAGAGAACTGTAGAGTAGGTAGTCGAAATAATGACCAGTAGATGGGGATGATTTAGAATTTTCCAGCTGTGTATAGTTAATATTTGTTTACAAATACCTCGTACAAAAACAACTAGAGTGGAGATGTGTGTTTCCCTCTTCAGTAGTTGGCCATAACACATAACCTACATTCAAGGTTTAAATTTATGTTGTACATGTTAGGTTTTTAATTTATGTGTTGCGTAACGAAATCATCAACAAAAATACCAAAACAGATTTTATTTATTTCCTGGATTGGAGTGGTTGCAATCAACCATTTGTAAATTCAAATAATATATTTTGTTGTTTACTAAATACATATATTTGTAAGATTCTTTTAAGTATTGAAGCAATGATGCATTATTAATTTATAATTCAAAGCATAGTTCAAAATTAAAATGCCTGGCTGTAGAAGTGGCTGTATGAAACAAAAGGAAGTGACAGATGGGTAGAAACGCTAAGTCTGAAATAAGCTTAAACTTAAGCGGATCTTAGTCACTCTGCAAGTAACGACTGTTCAGTGTCATTTCATTTCTGTTCCATATTTTAGCCAGTATACTCCCATTTTATACATAAGCTAAAACTAATTTGATATTGGTTATTTATTAGTTATAAAATATTAAAATCATGCAATATTTTTATTTTATTTTAGTGTTTAAGTTATTTTTACATATTTAGCTTATTAATTTAAGAATTGTGACTATAATTTAAAATACCATTTTTTATTTAATGTCCACTTTTAATTTTTATGTTACTTTGAATTCAAATTATATACAGGGTGTCCCGGAACTCTGGAACATTTAATACAAATTTGTTCCTTAGATTGAGACAAATATATTTCACAATAGAAAAATTGTTTTCCAGTGACTAGTTTTCACATCTGTCGCTCTGTCTTTGTTTTATAACAAATTATTTAATAACGCAAGATTTATTTAAGATAGAAACGTCCACTTTAATATAAGTGTGCACCCTAATAGGTAGAATAATTGTATGCAACTTTGTTTCTGTCACTAGATCGATTTCAAAATTGCGGCTTTTAAAAATTTGTAATTTCAAATTCCATTAAAACCATCATAGCTAAAAAAATATTAGCGTCATTGGTAAAAATTGCTATAATACCGCAATACATACCGATTAAATTGTTTTACAGCACATGAGATGCTGCTTATTAGTAATCAGCTGTTTTATGTCAACTTTATGTTAAACATCAGCTGTTTATTAGTATACATTGTCAATATCTATCATGTGTTATTGTTTGCAGACGGTGGCAAGGCTGGAGCCTAAGTTTCTCGCACTGCACTGTCAGGAGGTGGGGGGCAAGAACTACGAGCAGAGTATGAAGCACGTCGAGTACTTTGTCAGGTGCGCCACACAAGTATGTGTTGTGTGTTGTTTCCGTGTGGTAGCATGACTGTTCTATCGGTATGGTTGATTTTAATATTGGTATCCCACTTTAATTGACAAGAATACCTGTTCGGACAACCATATGAAAGTTAGTTTGATTGGCTTTAAGTATATCAATTGTATCAATTTGTTTTGTCAATATTTTCTCATGTCCTTCCTTCACACTTACTTGGACGACATGAGGATCTAGATTCAAAGATTCAAAGATTTCAAAGATTCTAGCTGGATAACATTACACCACACACTGATTCAATTTATATGAGATTGTTTGATCATTTATGTGAAAATACTTACAATTAGCATTTATACAAAATTGCATGGAAAAAAATCACTTGAAAACACAAAAGATAAAAAAAGTTTGTTGTAAAATCTTAGCTTACGGTACTAAAAATACTTGGTTTAAAACTTAAGACAAACTCTTCTAATAAAAAAGTATTGAAAGTCTATAGAAAAATGCATGTTATGAATCAATCCCGCCTCAATGTAAGATTTTCAATGAAGTCCAAGTTTTTTTTAGCATTTAGGAATATCTTTCATTCATGTGTTCATTCAAGTTATAGATTTTCAAAATTGACTTTTTAATTAATGGTTAATTCATGGTTTTGGAATTGCATGTTACAAACTTTGCATGTCACAGAAAAATCACTCAGCAACAGGCCACTAATATGAAGGGAAGCTTGGGATTAAAATTTCAGTTTGGGAAGGACGAGAATGGTTTTCTTCTTAACTTTCAAAAGTGTAATTTGTTTAGTAGGGTGCTGTTTATGAAGCTTTTGGGTTTGCAAAACACCCAAATTGATTTATAAGTTAGGTAGGTATTTAACAGGCCATTATTAACAATAAAAACCTGCAAAACACTTAAATAGCAAGTAATTATAATAAATGTAGCATAAGCATACAACTGTTTTAGTAAAGGCAAATTAAATCGCTTAAAAATAAATTTTCAATATTTGAGCTCCAGTGAAATTGTACTAACTAAAGCATTATAAAATATTTTATTTTATTTTAACTTCTTAAATGCAGATTGAAATGCTATGTGTGTTTTGTAAAATATTGCTTTAAATATTTTCCATAAATAAAATTATTAATCCACCTTTTTAAAAAGGATAAGAATTGTAAAAACCTTTAAAGATTCGACCAGTGAAGAGTTGTAATTATTGACGTCCATTTTAAGAGAAGTGTCCGGGCTGAGGTGGTGAGGTGAATTGAAGGTATTTTCTGCTGAAAGCGTCCCTTTATCCTCTAGATATGAGTGATTACCTCCAGGTTTTTCCAACTCAGAGATTTTTATCTTACAACTCCCACCTTTACTCTAAAATATATTTTTTTTAACTAAAATTCTGTTTAGTTTAGGTGTTTTATTAGATATTTGTGATATGCAATTTAATGTTTTTATTTTTGTTTATACAGTATTACAACAATTGCAAACCTTCAAATAAACAATTTGGAACATGTAGCAAGAGGACAAATAAATTTGAAACTTAGTCTCAAAACGTTTACAGAAACTTTTGTAAAATTCAATATAAGAAAACCATGTTTACTACACCATAAACATTTTAAACTCATTATATTTAAAATATGGAAAGTTTACTTTACATAATTTTATTTGACTTTGATTGTACAAAATTTGAAACTAAAAAAGGCTGTTCAAAAAGCTAATAACAAGTAAATAACCTACTGTTACAGTTTAGTATCGTTTTTATTATCTTTTTAGTTCAGTAGGATAAACCTAAGGTTAGCAACTGTTGTTAATCGCAAACTTAAAGTTTCAGTACAATAAAGCACAGTTTGTTTCAAATAAAAAATTGTGGTATTGGTGTTGTAAGATAAAAATAAAAAAAAACAGCACAATAAGGTTATAACTGTGGTCAAAATTGGATGACTTAATTTATTCTGAATTTGTAAGAAATACTTTGTAAGCATATTTTGTTGTGATTCCTGAGAAAAAGAAATTAATGAGAAACAATTATTGTATGATATTCTTACATCGATACTGCTTTTGTGCTGTTTGACATTTAGCAAAGTTCAACTTTAACATTTGAAAATATCTCCTTATCATAAGTTTAGATGTTTATTGTTTACTTTTTATCTAAAACATTCCAAAGACTCTGGTTGGCCGCTGAGTAGATTTAGTAAAAGATTTGTGTTATTTAAAATCCATTTAAATCTTCTTCAACAAGAAATAAATTGACTGGTTAATGCAAATAAAGTAATCTCACATTAGTTCTCAATGTTATTTCCTGGTTGTAGAAAACGTTTTTTTGTCATACTGGAGCAAAAACTGCCGTTTTAATGCATGTGTTGCAGCTCTAAAGTTGAATTTTTACTCTCAAGGGAGTAAAAAGCGTTTTTAGCCTCTAGGGAGTAAAAATCGGCTGTTGTCAACTCAGTTGTAAATTTTGATTGTAAACAATCGCATGTATAAAATTATGTATTGATTGTATAACCAATTGTAGCTTATTGTTGCCTTATTGTAAATAGTTTGACATATCGAATCGATAGTATAATGGAAACTAACACAATCGTAATAGACTAGACTAAACAATGATCATTACTAAGCAGCTGCTTGTTTGCACTGGCAAATTAAATTGAAAAGAAATTAGAAGAAGTTTCTATTGGTTATCTTTAAATAAAAATTATAAAAAGTTAAAATTATATAAGTTTGTCACGCTTTACCCGTGTAAAAAGTGTCTTTTCAATCCTCGTTCATTTTCCGACCTCAGCTTTGTCTCAATCGTAAAACATGAGTTTGGATCTAAAAGAGTCACTTAATGCTCAAGTGATAAAATATACTATTATTTTTGTAGGTATGATAAAAAAGTGCAGCTTTGATGTTTTATAGTGATGTTTTTGTAAGATTTTGTTATTATGTACTAGTAAAAAAAAACATTTATCTGTTTATTTTGAAGAATCTTGAAACTTGTTATGATTGTGTTTTACAGTTTAAGAAAGCCAAATTGAGTCGAAAATGAGTTTTTGTCCATCTGTTTGCCTGTTCTCAAAATGACAATTTATGCTGCTTACTCAAGGAAAACTAGAACACCGGCATATTATTTTCATCAAATAAAACAATGAACTTCCAAAATTTCACTTTTGCACTATATTAAACACATTCTTTCCCAAATTTTACTAAGTTATTTATCAAATACTAGTCAGCTGTTTAAAGAATGATTCTTTCCGCAAATTGTCACTGAAATGTTTACTATGTGGCACCAAAAGAAAAACCATAATGTTTTCATATTATTTATTCATTTGCAGTTAGATAAGCTATTAATTTTATTCTGCCACACACAGCTGATTGAAATTAACCGATGTTATTTTAATAGAACAACTATGAGCATATTGCGTACTACCAATGAATACAAACCCCTTCAGAAGCGCAATGCCTTTGTTAAAAATTCAGTCGGGAACTATTTGAATTTTGGATAGATCCCGTGGCGGCCGCTAGGTAGACTATCACGAGCATGCAGACAAGTCAACCGACTGTGTGAGAGAGAGTAAGATAGAGTAGTTCGGCTGCAGCGGCTGCCGCACGAAGCTTATTTCGGTGGCAAAATTCCAGTCTGACTATTCTCCATTAGCATTTCGCTTTTTTAATGGTTTGTATTTATTGGTACTACTGTGGTCCTCAGCATAAAAACCATATCACATCACTAACCATAACGGTGCACTAATGTTGTTTGTCGCTACTACTGTACTTCTCTAATGAAGGCCATCCGCAACAATGTCAAAACAATAGCACACCATGTTACAAAATGTGAATAGGTTCTACTCTGAAAAACCCCGACAGTGTTATTTAGTGTGATCGTGGAATTCTTACGTAACCTATAATAAAAATGTACCAGGTATCAGGCATACCCACATCTTACTGTTGAATTTGTGTATTTTACATATTGTATATATTTTGTATAATGTATTGTATTTTATGCAGACTGCTGATGACCAGCGAGGAATTGAGGTTATTTGACAGAGTCAGAGTCTACCTAGATGAGGACTACTCATCAGCCGAGAACTTTACTGTAAGTCTTTGATTTTATATCTCTTGGAGTGTTAAAGGCCAATTGGTCATTATGAGTATATATAAAAAGTCTGTACATGCAACTATTTATTGTAGTCAATCACTCAACGAATGGCTGAACACTTATATCATGTGCTGCAATCTGGAAGTCAAGCTTTAAACAGAAGGTTTGCGCTGTTTGTCGACCAGTGTTGTTAGTGATGTTGTTTGTTTAAGGACTCGGTAGTTTAAGGCACTGTTACCCTGGCCAGGAGACATCTTTGGTTGAGGATGAAAATTCTGTCTTTGTCATGTTCTGTGGCAGAGCTTGTTAGGAAAGACAAGTGTAAAAAACGGTGGACAACTTAGATGAAAGATTGAGTGGTTTGTTTGTAAGTTGCACCTTGAATCAAGCATTTTAATATTTACCGATCTTTAACTGGGCTGTGTGCTCATGAAAAACATTTTTTATAAGGGGACTTTTTAAATGAAGGAAACATGAAAAAGATGCAATGTTAAATCCTCGGCCACTAAGCGGTTGATTAATTTATAGTTATTCTGATATAATTACACCATAGCTGAATTTGTTCAGTTGCTAAATGTCCTCTAAAAGTTTGAACATTCAAAAATGTAATTACCTTAGGATTTGTTTGCATTTTCATACAGTAGACTCATTACAGTAGTACTCATTTGAGACGTAGGAATTGGCTAACTCAGGAACTCGCTAACTCGGTCGTGTGGCGGAACTGGCTAACTCTGGAACTGGCTAACCGTCTCAGTCAGGAATTGGCTAACTCCGGAACCCGCTAACTCGATTTTGTCTCGCGGTGGAATTCGCTAACCCTGGAAGTCGCTAACCCGGCCGCGCCCACTGCTCGGAGCGTTGCCAACCTTGTACGACAAAATAATCGTACACTGCCGTATTTCAAAATGTCAGTGTCTATAAAGATACATCATCATCATCAAAATTAAAAGATTTTGATAAACACGATAAATGTAAATCGTGTACTGGTAAATGTTATTTTTTAGCGAATTTCCTTATAGGGAAGTAGCTATTACCGTAGGTCTCATGGTAAGACTTAGGCCCGGGACCGATTTACCGATGTCCCCAGAGGCCAAAAACACCATTCGTTCAAATTTTTATATATAGATATATATCTATAGATTTATATATATATATATATGTGTGTCCGTGAACTTGATAACTTGAGTAATTTTTATCTGATTTTGATGAAATTTGGTTTGAAGGTGTAAGGCGGGATAAACTTGAATGAGTTCGCGATCCAGCATGATCGGACCACGGGAACAGGGGTTTATGGGGGGTTTTATGGGGTAAAAATTGGTTTTTCTCACTTTTGACCCTAAAAACACAAAATTTCCCAATTTTTCTCTAAACCTTCTTAAAGAGCTTAAAAAAACAAACAATTCAGTATATCAAAGTGTTTTTGTACGGTTATTGGTTACGGAGAAAACTAAACAAATGGTAAATTTAAAATTCCTATGTTGTTCTTATGGAGAGTATTGTCAAATGTTGTAGTTTGCTTGTTTATGGATATATTTTGATCAAACTTGGCAAATTTATCTATTTTATAGTAAGCTATCAATATTTTACTAAAAACACACTTTATTAGTTTCCTTGTAGCAGCAAACCTAGGTAGGCCTACTCGTTAAACCTTATTTAAATAGATCAATTGAAAATCAATTCAGCCAAATGGAAATTCGCTTAGACGGCAGGTTTGCTGCGGTGGGGTGTTATCAATTCCACTTTTAGCAGATAACCAGCCCAAAGTAATTAAAAGACAATTAAAAATTCATGAAAAAGTGTTTTTTATTAAACTGTACAATGTCCAGTTAAATGTTTATGATTTCGATCTTAAATATAAATGCCATCAGTATAAAAGAAAATAATAGAATATGAAAAATATTCAAAATTTAGTTTAATTGGTAATAAATAATTAAACCTCTACGAAAATAAGCTAAAATACACGCAAGTTCATATTAAACACGGAAAACAGAATTAATTGTAATGTCGTAATAAACCAAAACCATTAATTAATACAGTCATCAACCATCGTAACTTTCATAATTAATTCATAGATTTTAAATTAAATGTTCGTCATTGAACCGTCCAACTTACGTGTACAAATATGATGACATAGACTAAGTTTTTATCTGGGCCTAATAGTTTGAACCAAAGCATTGTAGGCCTACTAGTAAATAGTTGCCTAATTCTAAAATGTGTTAAATGTTTTAGCAATAATGTTACATGTTTTAAAACAGTTTTTAGATTGTACACCTAAGCACCACTAGTAAAAAATAGGAGAAGATATAATATTCATATAATAAAACGTGACAGGGTTATTTTAATTCACGATTTTTAATAAACTAATTGACGGATTTTCCTGATTTGAGTGTTGGGTTTCCTTTATATTGCTTTCACAAACGATATAAACTATACCAAGCCATTGCTCGGTTCACCGTTCCCCAGTACTGAGCTACACAATAGACAATAGCTTTGTTTTTGGATAAGATAGAATCAGCCTGGAAAAAAACTCCAGACTTTTAAAAAGTAAGCCTACTGAAAGACGTAAAATTAATATTAATTCAACAAAATTAAGAGGATGACCCGGGTTCTACACTAATAGCCTACGATAAAAGAAATTTACAAGTTTTATTTATGCATAGACTAACTTTTAATGCAATCCATGAATACATTAGGCCTACCACTTTATAATGTATTGATAATTATTTATTTAAATTCAATAGCTCTATTTAAAAATACATAACCACTACAATGTAATTCTGTAATGACGTTTAACGTGTAAATTTTATTATGATTTATGATTTAAGGTTACTACAAGCCCAGTATATAAAATACGAACTCAAAAATTTTATTTGCAGAAGTTCACAAAATGTTATTTATTCGAATAAAAGAAACAAATGGCGGACTACGAAAATAGATATTTCATAACATGTAATAGATCCAAATTAAATGTGCATTTTTATCTTTTTCATACCAATAATAAGCTACTATTTAAGTAAGAAACCCACATATAAAACATACTCCCTTATATTTAGTACATTTCTCATCCTTATGGATGATCTGAAGACAGTTGTATTGTTAGTTCTGTCCGGTGTACTGTCTTTAGAGGTCGTGTTTGGTTTACAATTGTTTCTTGTTTTCAGCAATTTAAAACCTCGTTTAACCAAATAAAACGTTCTAATCACAACTAATAACACGTCCCCTAGTTATATAACCAAACAGTAAGGAACAAATCATGAAGTTAACTATAAAATAATAGAAACACAATTTTGTCGACACTAGAGATCAGTGTCACCGGACATGAACTAGACACGAAAAACGAGCTTCAAAGTTTACAATGGGATGTAAAGTTTACTTGTGTTGGTTAGTCTATGGTAAGACTATAATGCATTTTCCACCCTAATAATCATAAGAGCTTCTATGTGGTTAAACATACTTCAAAATATATTTATTTTATCGACTACGTTGCTCTTACTCCTAATTAAGCGTAGGATACGACATTATGCTGCCGATACGATATAGGTACAGTACTACACTTTCGGCAACACTGGCCAAAAATATTCGTGCTTGGCTCCCATTGGACGGCCCGCGAGGCTTCTGATTGGGAGTTAGCGAGTTCCGCCGAGGGACCGAGTTAGCGACTTCCGTACGAGGACGGAATTCGCTAACCCGGCTCTAGAGCGGGTTAGCGGGTTCCGGAGTTAGCCAATTCCGAAACCGAACAAGTTAGCGAGTTCCTCTCATCGACCAAATTTGAAGATAGGGCATTTAACATGGGGTTAGCGAGTTCCAGAGTTAGCCAATTCCGCGGACCCACTCATTTTGATACACATTAAGAATATGCTTCTAAATCAATAAAGTTTGGCTTTTTAAAACAATTTTATCTATAACATTGTGTTATTCTAAATAAAATCTGAATTAATACACATAGCAACAACTACAGGTATAGCCATTGACTATTGTTTAATAGTCAAAGGTATAGCATAAAACTAAAAGTGAATGTGGGAAAATTATATTTGGAAAAAGATTTCTGAAGTCTTTACAAAATCCAGCAACAAATTGGATTTGTCGGACGGTGTTATATTCCGGCCAGGAGCAACGCTAGTCAAGACACGTTTGCCTTCCTCATGCTTACTTATATAGGGAGAGAAAAAATGCTGGTCCTGCACCGAATATCAATGGCTTCCAGTAAATCTTTGTTTTCTCAAAAGCAGATTCCTCCTCACTCTATGGTGGAAAGAATGATCTAAAACCAAATTTTCATACAACTACAGTATGGTTATAAAAGTGAGCCATAAAACATATATTTTTTCATAATAATCTTTTTAATGTCTGTTTGTTATAGGCACTTGGAAACTTCTATTTCATCCACGAGTCTGTACCTGATGTCCTTATTTGGGATTTTAAAGGTCAGTAGCTTCAAATGTATTTAAAAGGCTACCTTATGGTTTTTTGAGTTTATTTAGTAATTGGTTGGAAACTCGCTACATTCTACTCTCATGCTTCACTCATACTAAATAAATAATAAGCAAGCATAAATAAGCAACATTGTGTCCATGCCTCATTGTAATTATATACTCTGTATATAAACATGGGAGTAAGCTGGTCTAGTTGTAGAGCGCAGGGCTTCGGTGCCCAAGGTCCCGGGTTCAAATCACACCAATCACCAATGGATTTTATCTATGTGATAATGCCACAACCGTCCTAGGACTAAAAGTAACTTTATAGCCTAAAGTAATGTGTAAAACAGTTCTGAGCTAGAACTAGCTTCCTAGGATGTGAAGACAAGACATATACAAACTAGAATGTGTAGTTTTAACTTTCATATAGGGATTTAAAAAGTGTCATACAAAAATAATAAAATTTTACCATGGTAATTTTTTACATCTAACAAAAAGTACCAAACACTGCTGTACACTGCTTTTAAAATAAAAACTGAAATCTGAGGTTAAAATTAAAATAATTTCTTTGTTTATTTACCAAATGAAAAGTATTTAAGCTAATAAAAAATAACATCGTTTCAGTTAGATTGAAAACCACAATCAAATTTATTGAACTAATCTAAATGAAACATAAAAAAATAAGGGAATAAAACCTGTGGATGAATCCTGTAATGATTTAAAAGCTTTTGAACGGAATTCTCTAATATAATTTCTGTATTTAAAATATTTAACTGCAAAAGTTTTACGTTGAAATAAGAGTTATCACCTCAGAGTGTAAAACATGACAGGGTAAAACCTCTAGAGGCCTTAGAAAACCAAGTAATCCCTGTCCAAACTCCCCCACACATTTATTTGGGAAGCTAGCCAACCTTCTGTCGAGTTGTAGATTCATGCCCTCACATGTCAATATATTACAACTGATACGGGTTGTGGTGAACAGGTATCAATAGGTAAATCAAATATATATGAAATAAAATCATTTTCAGTTCGTTTGACTATTCTCTTAATTGTGGGGGGGGGGGGGGAAGTATAGAGACTTTATAGAGCCAAATAAGTTTATATTGTTTTGACTTTTGATGGTTTATATTTCCTATTTGTCAGTATGTAATGTATGCGTTTTTCGTTTGTATGTTCATTATTTGAATTTATTCATAAAATACTCTTCTACTTTATGAGGCAGTAAAGAGTACTGTTGTGTTCTTTTTGATTAAATGAAAAAAAATTAAAATATCGTTAGTTGTGGAGTTTAGTTATTAAATATAGTAAAAGATAACCAAAACTTGTATAATGTATGCTAACTTTTTGAACTCCTGATAACCTGACATGATAATAATTAAATTATTATACAAATGCAATCTAATGTTGTCACTAATTATTGCTCTTCATACGTCCATTCTTTTTTCAGCAGCAATTTCATTTTTATTGTGGAGACTCTGATTCTTTTATTAAGATGAGCCAAAATTTAAAATGTTTGCTATGATTCTCACATGTACCAATAAGAATCTAACAAAAACAGAGTGTCAAGTTTAGGCTTCATTGATAAAGTTCATACTACAAGGGCTATTCAGAAAGTAAGAAGCATTATTTTTTTAAATAAAGAGGTCGTCCTCTATTACCTTGCATTTGCGCGTCCACATGGGCCACAGAGGACTTTGCGTTGAAGGTATCCAGCAAGAGGTGTACCAGCACAGTACAACAGTGAACTGTACTTATAAAAAGTAGTGGCAGGTACCAGGTTTCGAACCCACAACATCATTGCCTTGGGCTCTAAGTCCAGGGCGCTACCAACTGATCCACCGACTCACTTAAATATGCTTTAAAACTGGATTCTCCCTATGTGAACAGAACTTTGATTCATTACTTTTTTTCCGTACAATTCACACGCTCAACGATAAATTTCTATAGGTTTTAAGTTGTTTGCCATAAAACCGTACTACAGACTGAACTCACAACTTGGAATATTTTCAATTGTAGAACACATTTTAAACGTGAATATTGCAACAATGAACAGCACAACAACACTTCCAATGTGGCAAGGAGGCAAACAAGTCTGTTCTTGAAAGTGTGCAAGCAGGGTGATATCAAGTCCTTACATGTAAGACAGAAACGTTCCTTATTTTCTGAATAGTCCTTGTACACGAGTATATGACCAACTCTGCCAATCCTTCTGCCTCCCAGGCTAGACCCAGTGTTTATAAATTCGTACTCTTCTCATTGAAAGTAATATTACCGAGGAGTAGTATTATTATATTTAATGCCTGCTGCAGTATAATCAAATTAGCTTTCTCCTAATATGAAAACATGGCTTGTTAAAAAAAATACCCCCGCCGCAGCAAACCTGCAGACTTAGCGAATTTCCATTTGCCTGATTGGATCTAAACTAAAATGTCTCCTTAAAAATATCACATTTATTCCCTATTTAAACAGAATTAGTTTAATGAGTACTTAGGTTTGCTGCAACAGGGAGGGTAAAAAAGTTTTTTTTATGTAGAATATTAAAAGGTACTGTGGTTTAGTAAGAAATTAATGTATTTTCCAACTTTTATCAAAATATGTTCATAAACAAGCAAACTACAACAGTTGTCTTATTCTCCATAAGAATAACATGGGAATTTAAAAATTACAACTTTTTTGAATTTTCTCCGTAACAATTAGGCGCATAATAATGCTTCAATATACTAAATTATTTGTTTTTTTTAACTCTACAAAATGGTTTGAAAAGAAATTTTGAAATTTTGTGTTTTTAGGGTCAAAAATGGGAAAAACCTATTTTTACCCCATAAAACCCCCCATAAACCCCCATTCCCATAGTCCGATCATGCTGGTTCGCGAACTCATTCAAGTTTATCCCGCCTTACACCTTCAAACCAAATTTTATCAAAATCGGACAAAAATTACTCAAGTTATCGTGCGGATGGACACATATATATATATATATATATATATATATATATATATATATATATATATATATATATATATCTATATATATATATATATATCTCTATATATAGATATATAAAAATTTGAACGAATGGTGTTTTTGGCCTCTGGGGACATCAAAATGAAAAAGTAAATCGGTCCCGGGCTTAGGTCTTACCATGAGACCTACGGTAATAGCTACTTCCCTATAGGGAAATTCGCTAAAAAAAAAAAAAAAAACAACCTGAAAATCACAACAGGGTAAGAGGATATATATTGTAGGGTATTTACTCAGGGGAGGTATAGAAGAGGCTACGATGACAGCTGAGATCTTCTTATTAGCTGAGGGAACGCCATTACCGTAACAAAACGTTCAACAGCCATCGGCCTCGGTGGTCTATTGGTTAGCGTGCCGGGCTGATATACTGTAGGTCCCGGGTTCGAATCCCGCTGATAGCGTTAACTTTTTGTCCAAGAATTTTTTATTATCAGCAAGTTTGGTTGGTTTGGTTTGGTTATTACAGTTTAATTTTATTATTAAGTCATTATAAAATTTTAATTGAGCAATTTCTAGTTTTATTTAATAAACAGAATTATTTTTCCGATTACTAAACTTTTGTTATATTATTTCTTTATCAGCAAGTTTGGTTAGTTCGGTTAGGTTATGATAGTTTAATTTTATAATTAAAAAATAGTAAAATTGAATTTGAGGCATTTATAATTTTATTTTATGAACAGAACTATTTTTGCGATTAGTAAACCTTCATTGTCAAAGTGCTCTCTACTACAGCGCTGTTCGCGGAGGAATTTTGAACTAAATGCCTCATTTGTACCTCCCCTAAGTCAGACCCTATATTCAAGATTCAAGATTCAAGATTCAAGATTCAAAATAACTTTATTCATTTTTCATACATGTGTACATAGAATAGCGTCAATTTAAACATTTTTCTAACTTACTACATTATACAAAAATATTAGATGTTAATGATTTCACTGCAATATACATGAAATAGACCTAGAGATGAGTTTATATCATTACATTAATAAAAAAAAACTCATCTAGAGAGTACAACAGTTTGGATAGCATTACATTTTTCAGTTTTTTCTTAAAAACATTAAAATCTTCTGTGGATTTTAAATCCACCGGAAGAGCATTATAGAATCTAATACCTGCATAGGAAGGTTTCTTTTCATATAATTTAAGATTGTGGCTTGTATAAGCAAATACTCTATTGTTTCTAGTATTATAACTATGGTTTTGTCCTAACGTTTCTATTCTATGAGAATTATTTTTTATAAACAAAATAAGTTCAAAAATGTATAGACTATATACAGTCAAAAATTCCAATTCAGTAAATATGTGTTTAACAGAATCATCCCAATTTAGCTTTAAAATTATTCTTATTGCTTGTTTTTGAAGGATAAGAAGTTCATCTAAATTTTCATTTGAGGTATTACCATATAAAACAATACCAAAAGCGATATGAGACTATTGTATAATTATATTTCCAAGGAATAAAATTATCAATTTGAGTTATTTAAAACAAGCAACACAGATATTTTAACGAATTATCACAGCCGTTTAGGCTTGACGAAGGAGTCCTAATATGAAATTTTGGTTTTACTCATAGCATTTATATTAAAACATTATGATTATTTTTTGAAACACTGTATTCATACTTTCAGCCCATTATTAGTGTACTTTAATGAGACAAAAAACTTGTGTTTTCTTTGTTCAGAACTGAATTTTGTTGCTGTGGAAGGGAAAGACGTCCACTCTGGAAACATCGAAGATGTCCAAACCAAAGAAAAATCCAAATTCCCTCAAGACTTTTTCCCAGAGGTAACGTTATTCTTTCATAGCTGATTTTAAAACCTGTTTAAAACTAAAGGATTGCAACCTCTTTTTTACTAACACATTTATCGCCAGTTCTTTATTATTATATCAGAATATCTTATTATCTTATTAGAATATAGTTCTTTAAACACTAATGAAGAAATCTTATATTTCCTTTGGTATTTTGGGAAAGTTTGTCCCTACATTTTCTTGGGATTCTTCAGGAATTAGTAAATTTACAAAAAAACGTTATATGATGGATGAAAGTGGAATAAAAGAACAACTACAACAATCATAACTTTTTGTTCATAAAACTCTTTTTGTTTACCTCTTTCTTATGCAAACTATTTAATTAATCATGTAAGTTGTAATATTTGCTATTAGACTGACTTTTAGTCATGAGTTTTGTGATTCCAGTGTAAGTGGTCTCGGAAAGGTTTTTTACGGACGAGATGGAATCTTAACGGAACCATTTTTGACCTAGTCAACATCCATCTCTTCCATGATGCCTCCAACTTTGTTGCCATGGAAACAGTAAGTGATATACACTTCATTGTTATCTCACTCAACAATAGAGCATGAACCATACACTGTTTATGGAGTGTGGCCTGTTAATGCTTTTTTGATTAGACTGTATTTTGATGAGAACATCAACTTTGACTTGGTTACAATGATTGTGATGTCTTTTGCTGCTTATTTAACCATGTAAACAATATTACCTCACTGTTCAAACACAAAATAATGTTCTCATAGTCAGACAATCATGAAAACAAGTTCTTTGTGTCTATACATGCAGTGATGTACAAAATTGAAGTTCATAAAGCAGCAATTTTACTGTTCAATATTTACACACAAATTAATTTAGTACAAACTTAATTTAACAATGAATTAAAAGTTAGTCCAAAAATTTGTAATTCAACACATAGAGTTGTCCAAAGAAAATTTACCAAATGGTATTAGAAGACAACATGAAATTTAAAATAGCACATTCTGTAGATCTAAATTGAAGGATGCACTGTATAAAATTTGTGGATTAAGTGGGTTCTACCCGGCAACCTGAATTTCAATTCAAGATGGCAGATTGTATGGATTGAAATATAGTTCGGGATTGAACATGCCTCTATTGTGCAAGCTCTCAACATTCTAAAACTAATTTTGTTTCCAATGATTGTGTGCTTTTGGTGCTCTTAACATATCAAAGCTTGCAATGGGTAATTTTTAACTATTATTTAGAAGTTAGCATCACATGTGAAAAAGACTAATTTACGGATTTTCAAAATGATTTTGTGAAAAACAATTACGAAGTTTTGTTTCATCCAGTGCATAGTTTAGCTCTTTGTGAAGAATATTTTACAGTTTATTTCAACCCGATAAACACTATAATAATGCCATGAGGTTATTTTTTATAGGACCATGTTTATGCGGTAACCAGCCGGCGGGTGGAGCCCTCTTAATGCTCTATTTGTTTTCAAATTTGAATGAAATGGATTAGCATATTTTTAAGCAACACAAACTGCTTAGTATGTAAAACAAGCTTTTCAATTACAAATTCCCATTACATTTATATGTCTAATGTATCCAATAACGCTAAATTCCCAAATTAAAAAGTTCAAAACTGTTTTCTATCAAAACATTCCTAAGTTCTTGTTGCCTAAAAATTTTTATGATAGCATATCAGCTGCAACATGTTATGTCAATATTGTAATGGTTTGACCAATTTCTGTTTTACTTTGGGATTTTTTTTGTTTTCAGTTTCCGTCCGTCTATTCCAAGACCAGACAACGAGCGCTAGAATATACGCTGGACAGGTATACCTCTATAATTACTATAATTATCAACCTAGATGATTGATATGCTATGTTAAGCTGGATCGATTAACCTACATCTGGCAGCTACAAATCTCTGTAGTGTACTGACAGGCCAAATTTTACTGTATGTACGTACATAGGTTACTTTAGAGCTGTAGAAATTGTGTTCTAACATACAAAAGTACATACTATTCTTTTTCAGAACATTACAAGGTACAAATTTAAACCTTTGACAGATCCCAAAAACTATTTTGTACAACTGTTTACTTGTAAGAAAAAAAAAGGAAAAAAAATTGGTCCTGTTAAGTTTTTTTTAAGGCTTGGAAAAAATACAAAAGATTTTTTAATTACAAATCCAAGATATAAAAAACGTTAAAAAAATTGTTCTTTAGATAAAAAAAATATAAAACGTCATATTTTTTATTTGTAAGTAAAAATGTAAGAGTGACTTTTATGTCACACCGTGCTAAACACACAGTTGTGTCATTCTACGTTTTTATTCTCAACTTTAACAATATTGTTACATCACAGTATCTAAACAAACTATAGGCCTGTAAAATTTTTCCGAAGTAGTGGCTTGGGGAAAATACAAAAGATTTTTTTATTAGAAATTGAATGTATACACAACTTTTTGAAAATGGTTCTTTAAATGAAAACAGGAAAAAAGTCATATTTATTATTGTTTGTATGTAAAAATATAAGAGTGAATTGTATGTCCCACCACATCATTTCCATAGCTCATTGTAATAACACGTACAACACTGATCAAGAAGTTATTAAACATACTAGGCCTATATGTCAAAATAGAATCTCCTGTGTATAATTATATAGTGCAAAATCTATTTATGCTCAAATGAACAGTGACTAATAATAGACTGAGACAACATCTTTGATTGGCAAAATAACTTTTCAAACTACTTTTATCAATATTAAGTCTGAGAGTCAAAATGAAACAAACAAAAAACAAGGTTTAATAGTTTAAAAAAAGCAAGAGGTTTAATGGGGGTGGTAAAATTGATACAAAATCGGTTTGTTTGAAAACATGTTAGCTATAGACAGTTCTTTTTATTGATTCAAAGAGTAAATAAATCGACAATTCGTCAGAACGAAATCTGGTTAAAATCAAATAATAATCAAGTTTATTCTAGGTAAAGTCCTCATTATGATTGCTAAGTTAAAGCCAAGATCTATATTATGCTTTAATTCACCGTCTAATTTATGACTAAACTATTGTCCTATTTTCTTGTAGGTTTCACACAGACCAATATGGATCTGCTCCGTTCTTCTTGTTTGGAGATTTCAACTTTAGAACAGACATGAAAGGTGTTATCAAGGTAATTATATTCAGTAACTTATTGTTTATGGTATTACATATTTTATACTAACTAATATCTATGGCTTGGGGGTAAAACTATCGACCTCCAGTCAACGTTCTAAAAAAAATTTTTTTTTCCAAAATGTTCGTTTTTTTTAACCTAACCAAACTCAACCTAACCTAAACCAACCTAACCTTAACTAACCTAACCTTACCAAACCTAACCTAAAATAAAGCCCGCATTCCACAATTTTAGGTTCGTTTACTTACAATACTCATGTTATTGATAAACTTATTTGTGCAATTTAGATGCACTTAAAAAAATATATTTTGCCCATATTCATTCTCACATAAACTATGGCATTGGACTATATGGGGCAACTACGATTAAAAATTTAAATAAAATTCTAATCATGCAAGAAAAAGCCATTAGAACTATGTTACACCTTAAAAAAGATGAATCAGTTAAATCTCACTTTAAAAATCTAAATATTTTAACAGTTTTTGCAGCGTATACTTTTGAAATAGCATGTATAGCTAAAAGAGACAGCCTAAAATATGAGCCAGTTGTGCCACATAGTTACAATACAAGACATAAAAAGGATATTGTAACTTCAACCTATAAGCTGGAATTCTCCAAAAAAAAACCAACTTTTGCTGGATCACTAATTCTAAGGAAATTGCCTGCCTCTATAAAGGAGGAATCAAATTATAAATTATTTAAGTCTAAATTAAAAAAACATTTAATAGAAAAGGCGCCTTATACAATGGAGGAACTCATTGAATAAACACCTATTCATACTTAAAATGTATTTATATCTTTAAGCTAGTTTAGTACTTTATACTTGACACTATTTTTGTACCCATGTACATGTAAGGAAAATAAAGATGTTTTGATTTGATTTGATTTGAAACTAAACTAACCTAATCTAACCTAACCAAACCAAACTCAACCTAACCTAACCTAACCAAACTTAACCTAACCTAAACTTACTTAACCTAACCTAACCAAACTTAACCTAACCTAACCTAACCAATCCTAACCCAAAATAAAGCCCGCATTCTACAATGGCTTAGAGTCACCCGCAATGCTAGCGCTATGCGGCAGTATATAAGTAGCCAGAGGCCGATTTTCCGGTGATAAAAATCCGGTGATTTTCCGGTCCGATCGTAATTACATATTCTTGTTCAGGAGGAAATTCCGCACAATTTGAGTACCCACAACATGGGTTTTGGGCATAAGAGATTTTTCCCGTTTTTCCCATTTTCCGGGAAAACGGGACGTTTCCGCAAAAAATGAACATCATTTTTGGAATCAGCACTAAAAAACGAACATTTTGGAAAAAAAATTTAGTTTTAGAACGTTGACTAGAGGTCGATAGTTTTACCGGCCTGGGGAGCGAGCTAGTCTAGTGGTAGAGCGTGGGGCTTCATTGCCCAAGGTTCCTAGTTCAAATACCGCCAATCACCAATGGATTTTATCCATGTGATAATGCCGCAACCCTCTTGGACTAGCCTGAAGCAAAGTGCAAAACAGTTCCGGGCTAGAACTAGCATCCTAAGACGTAAAGGTGGGACAAAAAATAAAATAAAATAAATAATTATCTGTGGCCTGAGGTGACTTGTGTCAGTTCTTTAAATCTAACCTAATAACTAGAACAATTTACAGTGATATAAATGCTGTTGTTTATAAAGCTCTAGTAAGGTTAGCTAGGTCATCAGGGTTGTAGAGTTGAGCTAAGCAATCTACTAATGTAGGTGAAGGGTGATTGTCCACTCCATCTTTATACAAAATACACACCCATGTCCTTGACATCTATAATAATATATTCTTTCAATTCAATATTTATGATCAAGAACGACTACCTATGAGTGAAGGGGTGATATTTTACCAGTGTTCTCAGAAAATTCGTAACTATATGTGGGCTTTGAAAGGCAATAACCAACTTGTTGTATTAAGTCTGTTCTTTTATCATATGATTTATTTGTGTTTAAATATGTTTTGTTGTCAGATGATATTTGTAAACATGTTTTTGTAAACATTGGTTTAGTTTGGAAATAGAGTTTGTTGAAACAAGATGTGTGAATAATATTCTTGTATAAGAAATAGAACATGGTGCCAGCTTAGTGGATTTTTTTATCGAACAAAGTCTAAAACCACGCATAATGTCAATTAAGGGCAGAAAAAAACTAAATACTCGTAGGCAAAGGTATGAGGACATTGAGGAGAACGATGCCCAAAGTGAATTCAACTACATGTCAGAAAGGGATTCTAGAAAGATTGAAGGTGAGTCACTAGGTTTTGCATTGGGACAGACAAACCGAGAAAATAATGCAGTAATGTGTACTCCTACTCCGATGATAAATCTGACGTTACCAACTCCAGAAACCTTCTCTTTTACTCCGAATGAGTGGCATTCCTGGAGGAATCGCTTTCAAAGGTACAGACGGGGGTGCGGTCTGGATATCACTTCTGACGCTCGGCAAATCGATGTACTTTTGTTTACAATGGGTAGTAGGAGTGAAGATATTTTCGATTCGTTTTCACCAAAACCGAATACTTATGACGAGGCTCTTCGGGCCTTTGATGAATACTTTGTGCCAAGACAAAATATAATTTATGAGAGAACAAAATTTCTGAGACACAAGCAAGGGAGTGATCCATCTGAAAAATGCATAACAGATTTGCATTGTCTTGCAAAAACGTGTGCATGGGGTGAACTGAACGATGAGATGGTGCTTCTGGTCCTCATTATTGGTATGAAAGATGAGGCCCTAAGTGATAGACTCCAGCTGGACTCTCAATTGACTCTGGAGAAAGCAATTAATACCTTGCGCCAACACGAGGAGCTAGAACGCCAAAAACGTGAACTCGCCAATACTAATGTTTTTATGGTGAATAAAACATCAGTACAAGTCGGTAAAACAAATCTGTCTGAAGGAGCTGGTGAACAGAAATTCACCGAGGATGCTATGAGAAAAAAGTGCAGGAAATGTGGTTATAACTGGCACGGATCACTGGCCGAATGCCCTGCTAGGAAAGCCAAATGTGACGTTCCAAGATTGGACATTTTTTTCGATGCTGTCCCTCCCGCGAAAAGTGGATGAGAAAAAACAAAAACGTTGTTAAGGAAATCGAACAGCAAGATTCAGACAGTGGTTATCAACAGGTTCCTGAGATTTTCATAGGGAATATAGACAACAGTGACAAAGCCTGGGTCCAGGAGGTAAAAGCAAGCTTTGGAAACCAAGATTTAGGTCTTATAAAATTTAAACTTGACACAGCAGCTGATGTAACCATGATTCCAGTAGGAGTTGTCGGTGATTTTATGAAGACTCTGCCTCTAGGAAAGTGCAAATCCCCTGTGTTTAGCGCAAAGAAGAAAGAACAAATCAATATTTTGGGAACTTTAAGGCTAAAGCTTGAACATAAGGGTGTATCAGTTTATGATCTTGCGTATATTTCTGAGGAGATCACTGTTCCACTTCTTAGCAGACGTTCCTGTGAAGAACTGAACCTGGTGAGAAGAATTTTTTCTGTAGATTCACCTGATATTGACTGGGCTACTAAGTATCCTAATTTATTTCAAGGGTTGGGAAATATGAAAGGAGAGTACAAGATTGAAATGAAGGAGAATGCAGTTCCTTACGCTATATCCACCCCCAGGGTTGTACCAATACCTTTAAAAACCAAGGTGAAAGAGCAGTTAGACGATATGCTTGAGAAAGGAGTGATTGTTCCAGTTGAACACGCGACTGATTGGTGCGCACCAATGGTAGTGTGCGCAAAAAAGGGAGGTGGGGTTAGGATCTGCGTGGACCTATCCAAACTCAACAACAGTGTGAAACGTCGGTTTTATCCTATTCCAAAGATTGAACTTTCATTGGCCGAGATTGCGGGAGCCAAGTACTTCAGCAAGATTGATGCGAATTCCGGGTTCTGGCAACTGAACCTTGCAGAGGAGTCACAAGATTACACGACATTTATCACCCCTTTCGGGAGGTATAAATTCCGTAAGTTACCTTTTGGAATTACGTCCGCTCCTGAAGAGTTTCAGCGCCGCATGTCAAAAGCTTTAGAAGGGGCAAAGAACTGTTTAGTGCACATTGACGACTGTCTGATATGGGGAAGAACGAAAGAAGAACACGACGAGTGTCTTAGGGCTGTTCTAGAGAGAGTGCAAGCTAATGGAATCACCTTGAATAAGCAGAAGTCGGAGTTCTGCAAGAAGACTGTGACATTTTTGGGGTTTGTGCTGTCTAAGGACGGAATCAAGCCTGATCCAAGCAAGGTACAAGCGATTGTGGACTTACCAGCTCCAAGAAACGCTAATGAAGTACAAAGATTCATGGGCATGATCACTTTTCTGGCAAAATTTATTCCAAACCGCAGTGAGATTTTGGAGCCAATTACGAGCTTGTTAAAGACTAAAAACGATTTCTTTTGGGGACCAGCTCAAGAAAAAGCTTTTGTCACAGTAAAACAGATTTTATCATCAGAGCCATGTTTGACTGTTTACGATCCGCAAAAACCCTCGATTCTTTCTTGTGATGCTTCAAAAAAAGGTCTTGGAGCGGTTTTACTTCAAGTTGAAGGAGAAAACAAGAAACCTGTGGCATTTATATCTCGGACTCTAACGCCTGCTGAAGAAAACTACAGTAACATTGAGAGAGAAGCGCTTGCGTGCACATGGGCAAGTGACCGTTTGAAATGTTTCCTAATGGGTAAAATGTACACAATTGAGACCGACCACAAACCGCTTGTCTCAATTTTCAAAACACAAAATTTGGACGAGCTCTCACCGAGGCTACAGCGATTCCGAATGCGTATGATGAGATACGATTATCGCATGACCTGGACTCCAGGAAAAGACCTTGCCATAGCAGATCTACTATCAAGAAGTCCTATTCCGGCTAATGAAGATGGCGAATTGACCGAAGAAGTGTAAGCCTTCGTCCACGAAATCAGTCTGATAAGTATAAACACTACAGATGAAAATGTGACAAAGGTACTTCACTCACAAATGAAAGATCCAATCTGTGCATAACTTAAGTTACAAATTCTAGACGAATGGCCTGTAAAATCAAGTTTACCTAATGAGATTCAAGAGTATTTTAACGTGAAAGACGAGTTAAGTTGTATTGATGGGTTATTGCTTCGAGGAACTCGGATGATAATACCTCAGGAACTACGAGCGGAAATGCTCGAGAGGCTTCACAGTGGACACTTGGGAATCACAAAAACAAGGAAACGTGCTTTGGGAACCATGTGGTGGCCTGGAATTTCTCAAGAAATAGAAAGGAAAATAAAATCGTGTCTGAGGTTGTATTCAGAACTCAACTAATCACAGTGAACCGTTGATTCCGAGAACTGTCCCGGATTACCCGTGGCAAAATGTGTCTGTTAACTTGTTCAAACACGAAGACAAGTATATGGTTATCGTGGATCACTACTCAAGATACTTTGAAGTCGAGGAAATGCATCGAATGAGGGCTTCAGATGTGATTCGGGTTTGCAAAACCACATTTTCACGTTTCGGAATTCCTCAACGTGTTTATTCAGATAGTGGGACACAATTTCACCATATTGACTCAAGTGAATTTAAATTGTTTGCAAAGGAGTGGGGGTTCTCCACATTCAGAAGTAGTCCCCACCACCATCAGGGAAATGGGGCAGCTGAAGCAGCTGTGAAAGTAGCAAAAGGGCTAATGAAGAAAAACAAGGATAAATTTGAACTTGCCCTACTTTCTTACCGGACCTCACCTCTTGAAACCGGCTTTTCCCCATCTGAACTTATGTTTGGAAGAAAATTAAGAGACAATCTTCCATCTACTTTGGTTGGAAATCCTGTGGAAAACAAGAATTTTCTTGAGAGGGAGAATAAGTACCAGAATAAGTACAAGATACAATTTGATAAACGACATGGAGCGAGTGGTTTAAGTGAATTAGAAGTTGGAAGCATGGTATGGATCACAGATCTACGTCGACACGGTAAGGTAGTCAGGAAATTGAACGAACCACGTTCCTACCTTGTGGAAACTGACAAGAGAACCATTCGCCGAAACAGGAAGTTCTTAGTTCCTGCACCGTATTACGGAGGAGATGGTATTCTTTCAAACTGTTCATCCATGGTCCTTAATCGTCCATGCAACTCATGTGATCGTCCAGGAGCTGGCACAGTAACCCGTTACGGAAGGTCCATTAAGAAACCGAGGCGGTACTGAGGTTCATAAAGATGTGGACATCTTGAGGCGGGATGTTGTATTAAGTCTGTTCTTTTATCATATGATTTATTTGTGTTTAAATATGTTTTGTTGTCAGATGATATTTGTAAACATGTTTTTGTAAACATTGGTTTAGTTTGGAAATAGAGTTTGTTGAAACAAGATGTGTGAATAATATTCTTGTATAAGAAATAGAACACAACTATTTCAGTTTTGAATGCTTAACCAAAAGAATGTATTCCTCTAGTGACATACAAATGCTCCTAAAGAAGTTTACTATTTGCTATACACTATCATATTTGTATGTTGTTAATAATAATTGCAATTTTCATTTAACGGTATATTATTGATCAGATCATGCATTTTTCAGATTTGGATTGATTTGATTTCAATGTTCCTAAAAGTATTTTCTTTTACAGAAACTCGCCAATGGATTGAACCCTGTTGAAGTCAATAGTACAAAAAATAACGAAATCAACAAACTTTTATTCAGGGATGAAGAACAGGTCAGTGCACTTTAGTAGTTTTAAAACTAGAGATTGGAATGTAATATTGGAAAGAATTCAGAGTTCTGGTATTAATTATGCTTGTGCTAAAACAGCTTTTTTCATTTGAAGATATAGCCTCTGGATCGTTATTGAACATTGTTAAAATCTAAGGCTTACCTTATGATCCAATCTGTTTCATAGTGGAGACCTAGGTTTCTACGTCGAAACCTCAAGTAAGAGATGAAAAACTAGAAGTTTAGCTAACCTATGAGACAAAGGACTGGCGATAATGTATCCAAGTAGAAACCTAGGTCTCCACTATAGAACAAATTGGATCATAAAAAAATGCCTTATATTTTAACAAATCTATTTTCAATATATAATTGATGTGCTAAGGGCCAATCTGTATGGATTTTGCCACATAACATTCAGCAATTAACTAATAAATTGCGTATACAGTGGAACCCCTCATATTGCATCACCACGGGACCGACCCCCTAGCCAAAAAAATTTGGATAAACCAATCTATTGTAAAAACTGGATTTTTTTCTAATAGCAATCTATAATCAATAAATGAAGTCAAAAGTGGTGTTTAAGTCTTTTTTTGAAGTATTTTTTCGGCAAAACACTGTATAACGTAGTACTTCCTTCTAATAAAACTGGGCATTTCCCAGTCAGTCTAGCTCCGCTTTCGCTTGTAAACTTTATCGTGTGCTCTTTTTAAGACAAGAAAAATGGAAAGTCTAGACATAAATTCAAAATTGTTTTTATAATATTTAATTCAGCATCCTGATAATTATAGTTACTATTTTTTTTTATTTCAGGTTATTTTAACACTAGGAAAGAAGGAATTCAGCCACTACGATCATCAAAATTTGTTCATAAAAAATGCAGGAGAATGGGTAAGTGTAAACAAAAATTAACTTTTTGATTGGTATTCACTGAGCAACCTTACAAGTATATAAGGTTGACAATGTTGTTCTACCACCAAAACATTTCCTGAATATATTTTTTTGCTGTCTGACAGAAATTGCATAATAATAGTTTAGTCTTACATTAACTTAAGGAATTGTTATAAAGTGTTGGTGTTTCTTGTACCAATATGAACCCTTACCTTTTCAGGAACATCTGCTACTCTAAGATCAATGACAGATTTATGTTAGCTAAAACCTTGAAAAGTCATTTAGGTATTAGCATTAGGGTTTTTTAACCAATTGCCTTTGAGTGAGGCACCGTTGGCAATCAAATTCTCACACCGGTTGGTTATGTTAGTTTAAAAAAACCGTGTGTACATGATCTGATAGTTAATGTTCCATGTTATGCTATTCCACGAAATATGCCTTAAAGAATATTTTGAAACATGTTTCAATTTGTGACATTATTGTAGATATACTTTGTTTTAAGTAAGAGGTTAAGGATGTAACATGGAGCACAAGGGCCTAGGTTTTAGGATATTTTGTGAGGATAGCAGGCTTACCTGGAATAGGAAAGAGTTCAAACTGGCACAAGAGTGCCTGACTAGACTAAACCTTGTCAATATTAGTTTTTGAAGTTAGTTGGTTTTTTGTGCACTTAATTGTAATGGGTTCCCTGACCAATTAATTATTTATTCAATCCTTAAAAACCTTACCCTTGTGCATCATATTATTTAATAACCTCAAAACAGCAATATTGTATTACGTTTGTCTTTTCCAGCTGAAGGAGTTTGACAATGAGTTGGGTTGTTTTGCCGGTCAGCTGTTTGAGTTTCCGATCCAGTTTCCGCCCAGTTACCCATACGAGGAGGACACCCACAGTGGACGACAGTACATGCAGACTCGATGTCCGTCGTGGTGCGACCGCGTCGTCCTCTCCGAGACTGCCAAGCTACTTGTCCATCAGGTACAGCTGTAAATAAAACGTAGAGTTAAAGAAACTCAATTTATTTTCAAATTGCTGTTAGTGTCATTCAATCCAAAAAAGTATTAATTATTTAAAATGTTATTCAAACAGTGACACACTTTTTGTGTATTTTAAGCTGATCGGTATTTAGCGAGGAACAAGTGAATGATGGATTTAAATGCCTTCAGCTAGACCAGCCGTTCCCTACAGTATTAAATAATTCCACACTTAAACCACAACAATAGTTTTTAAGCTAAAGAGGCGTCCCTAATTTTATAGTTAATAGGCAATAGGCAAACATCTTTATAAGTGATTTCTTTAAGAAATACATTAGCTTCAAAGTACAAAAATTGAAAATTGATTTTGCTTTGCAATAATTATTAAGGTAGTTTATTTTGTTTTCCATAATCTTTCTTATGTCAAAAAATGCCTTTATTGAGTACAATGGTTGATTTATAAGTCGGTTCCAAAGTTCCTTTTTCAGTTTTTATCCTGATAGGTTTATCATGTTTCAAAAGGGAATTTATTACTTAGCAGCCAGTGTGATGTGGTGGATACACAACAGTTTAAGAACTGTTAAGTGTAAAAAAAACCTGAAAATATTTCACAATAATTATACGTCACAGCTAGAACTTGGTTGTGTGATTTGTTTTTCCTCTTACAGATTGACGACGAGAAAAGTATTGAATACGGCTCTATTGGAGAGGAAACTTGTATGGGAGATCATAAGGTAATTACAAATATACTATAAAATATTATATCCACTGCCACAGGTATACATTTATATAAACATTATAAACACCATTATTAAAAAACATCTCGTAACTATGTTGTTATATTTTAAAGTGGATCTCTAAACAATCTATAACAGTCAAAACAACTAATCTTTGATGGCTTCTTCTGACTATGCATTAAATGTGCAATCCATTTGGTCTAGCCCAGTGAAAAAATATTTCTGGCCTTCTAAGACAAAAGATTCATGACACCATAAACCTAATAATTTAAAAGTCTAAACTATATTTAGTATACAAGTTTTAAGTCTACAAAAAAACTTAACAAATATTGAATCTATTATATTGCATGCTTTTTAGACTTTTGTAGCCTTTCTGAAAGTACAAATTCTAAAGTCTTACAACCTTTATTTGGAATAGATAAATCAGTAACCTAATTAAAATATTTGACAAACAGAATGTATTAAAATATTTAACTTTAAATTGAAAGCATAACCTAAAATATTCTATGAGTTTTGTAATGAATAAAATAATTATTCTTTATAGTGTAGCGAAAAGTAACATTCAAAACACAAGTGAAAGTGTTACATATTCTTGACCATTTAAAGTGCTAGATAAAGATGGTCTCAAATATGTAATGACTCACTTTCTACTCTTGTTATGAAATATACTATTCCCCCTAAATTATTGATACTTTGATATAATTATATGATATAAAAATTTTAAAAGTTGTGACAGCTTTAATATGAGAATGGAGTGTCTAGTTCTATTTATTGTAAAAGATAGAATATAAAGTTTTCGTCTTTCTTTTGTCAGGATGGGCTCTTTCCCATCCAAGTTAGCCTGCTACCCCATAAAATCCTTAAAACCCACATACTTAAGTAAGTCTTCATCCTAAATGAACACTAAAGCTAAGTCACTTCTATGATTAGGATATTAGGATGATTAGGAGTTTTGCACAGGCTACTGTGGACCCAAGGATTGGGCCCGTGTCGTAAACCGGGTATCGTTCACCGCAGCGACTGGTCCTTCTCAGTGGAGCAGCAGTAATAAAGAACTAACCGCTGCGCTAGTGAACATTACTTGGCTTAGGCCACGAGCCCAACCTCTGAGTCTGTGGCAGCCTGTCCACGACTATGGTGATCAATGGTTACAAATTTGATAAATACAGTAGACCCTCTCTAATACGGCACTTCGCCACTCCGGCACTCCAGTAATCCGGCGTCTTTTGACGGGTGAGGTCTTGTGTGATCGCGGCAAAATTCTGATTATATCCCGCGGCCGTTTATACATTATCATCACCTCCCGCGGTCACGTAAACGTCGTCGTCGTCTTGTGCCATTGCGGCAAAATCATGAACATCTCCTCCGGCCGTTTAGACATTATTGGAGTCTTCCGTGATCGAAGCAAAAATCTGTTTATCTCCCACGGCCGAGTAGGCATCATCATCCACTCCCGCGGTCACAGAAACGTCATCGTTGTCTTGCACGATCGCGGCAAAATCATGAACATCTCGGGTCATGTAGACATAAACATTGTCTTCCGCGATCGCATACAAACATTGAACATTCCGCTAAGACATTATCATCACTTCCCGTGGTCACGGAAACATCATTGTCGTCATGCGCGATCGCGGCAAAATCATGAACATCTCCCGCTGTTGTGTAGACATTATTGTTGTCTTCCGCAATAGCGGCAAAATTCTTATCATCACCCGCCGCCGTGTAGACGTTATTATCGCCTCCCGTGGTCATGGAAACGTCATCGTCGTCATGCCCGATCGCGGAAATAGCAGTTTTTGTTCCCGCGATCCTCAGAGACGTGTTTTAAGTGCTAAAATGCACTTGTTGCAGTGTTTTTATTAATAACATTCCAGTAATCCGACATTTTCACTAATCCGGCAGTATCACGGTCCTATATCTGCTGTATTACTGAGAGTCTACTGTATTTATAAATGAAACGGTGTAACGGAGTTTGGTTGACTGGTGGGGTGTTGTGCTTGGCGCATGCAGCCGGTGTACCTGAGTCTTACCCTGACGTCGGGGTGAGTCCAATCATCTCACGCTCACGATCACGATGCACTAGTGATGTTACGAGATTCAGACAATATCATTATAATTGTAGAATTCTCAAGTCAATATTGTAAAATCACCACTGCAAGAGGAGAAAATGATAGATTTAAAAAGTTATTGCCAAATTTATGTATGAGACATTTAAAATAAATATTAAAATTTAAACCATGAAAATACAAAGTAAAGAATGTAGTTTCTGTCAAGTCTAGTAAACAATCAAGCTGCAGTATAATTTATTCTTTTTTTTTTATAAGAACATATTTTGTTTTTATATAATCTCCAGGATTTGTAAAGTTCAAGAATATAGCCTGTGTTGAAAATAGTTTCTGTGTGATTAAACAGTTTTAACTTTTTGACGTAACTAAACGGGACACTATATATCATCAAAATACTAACAAATTACAATGGTTGAGATAAAATATTTCACTGTTGTGTGATTTTTCCAAGAACTTTAATGTATACACAGTGTTTGAAACTGTTCAAAATTTTGCTTTGGACATTGCAACACTGTCTTTGGACTCGACACTATCATCTGGAAATAGTATAAGGAATATTATCAAATTCCCAATTACTGATGTAAAAGTAGAATTTGTCAAAAACACGTCACATCACTATAATGCACCCCACCCACGGACATTTCATTACATTCTTAGTAATTTACTGATATTCAGTTTTAGATGTATTGGAAAATACTAGAGTAGTGCTTTATCCTTGTAGTATTCTTTAATAATTTTGTGTGAATTTAAATCATCTATGTTTTTGGTTTTGGTGCACATTTTAACCACCCCTGTACCTTTTCAATCCAACATTCTCCACTTATTTTGTAATATGTTGTTATGAACCGTTTCAAATATTTATTTGCAGCCCTAAAAACAGCTAATAAAACTTACCTCCTAAAACGTCAAATTTTAAAATTAAAATGTTAGCAATAACATATTTTGTGAAGCACTGTTTTTAAACTATTAAAAATCTAAAACATGACGCAAATAGCTATGGTGGAAAAGATTATCAACAAGTAATAACAGTTTTTTTTTCAAACTAGTGGTCTGATTATTAATTTCAAAATAAAAAAGTTAACTATTATTATTCTAACGCATTGCTATAAAAAAATATATTTAACTTCCCCAAATGTTCATTAAATTCCAAACCTTGAAACTGCTTTAGCCTCCCTAGGAAATTTTAAATCTCTATCAGAGATACCTACTTTAGATACTCTAATTTACTTTCATTTTGAAATAGTTTTGTGTATACTATATCCAGAGTCTAGATCAGTTGATAGGTTCACAGATTTATTACAGTTTCAAGAAGATAAATTGGAATTGATAGATTGTGGGTTTTTAAAATCTCATTTTCATTCACCTCAATTGATTCTGAAGGTACAAACGTAGATCTCATCACATTTATTTCGTCGGTTGGTTTACCCGCATGTCTGTTTGTTTGTTTTAGCCAGTGTTCCTGCGACTAAGCATAGTTGGTGAGGCAGGTAGGGTAGTCTGTTGTGACAACCGCCCTCCGCTGCATGTTACCCCCTCCCTAGTCGAGCCTAGTGTGGCGGCTCGACTCTTGGAGCGAACGGATTCATCAAACAGTATCCAAATAATAGAAAACCATCTAGATTATGTGAAACCTGTCAATGACACTATAGACGATGCTTTTGTGGATTTTCCAATCAGATTGGAAAATATGGACACACTCTTGGATTTTACAAAGGAAAAACGAGAAAAATTGAGTTTCAGTAGGCTTAGCTCAGAGGGGAATATCGGTGTAGATTTTGACCCTGTGAAAGCTCCGTTCCGACCACTACCGCAGGTCGAGGAGCCGAAAGTCTATGATAGATATATAGTGAAGCGAGTGCAGTCTGCGTCGTTTGTGGAGGTTCCCCGTGTAGGTGTGCTGCGTCAGGGGGGATGTAGATGCATGAGTGAGTCACAAAGTTGGCGAGCTCGTTCAGTCTCAATTTCTAGCCGAACAACAAACAATTGGAGGAGTAACTCTAGAGTTAGGCTTATTTCAGACTCGAATTTGCAAAACTCGCTTCTTCGATTGCAAAGTCACCACAGTTCCTCTGACGAAGAATGGTTTGAAGAAGTCAGTAATGACGAGAACAACGAAGACTCTGGGTTGAATAAAAGTGATAATAGTCCAAACAGTGAAATGACAGAAAGTAAAATACCTGTTCTCGAAGAAATATCTTTGGAGGAGCCCTACGAACCTATACAGAGTGTGGAAGATATTTCTGGGGGAAGGATTCCTCTAGAGTTGAAAACGGAATTGAAGTGTAAGAGCTGCTGCCCAATACGGTGCAGAAAGAAACGCAGATTGACCAAGAGTCAGAGGAACAGTATTAAATCCAACATCTCAGGGAACAAAGATAGTTTAGATAATGCTTCAATTGGTAATGACAGGTGTTGTTCAATATCGTGATATATCACTCAAAGTATACTTAGTGTAAGTACAGTAATAAGCTGTTAATCTTTAGTTACTCAAACACTCTTAATGATTTTTCAAGCCATAGAGTTTATTGTAATATAGACAGTCATTAACTTTACCATTAGCAATAGTTTATGTTTTATGTTACCAAGTTAAATGTTTTATATAGTACCAGAACAAATACTATTGTTTTCAGTATTCAATCCAACCTTTTCCCTTTTACGAGTCAATCTTGAGGCCTTTAGATTTGCTTCTTAACCTAGTCGTACAAAATAATTTTATTTCTTTTGTTTTTACTTAGTTTTACAGTCTCTGATATATGTTACATTGTTTATAATATTGTTTTAATATTTTGTAACTAATCTTGAAAGTGATACGGTAAATGTCGAGGTAATATAATGGTTTAATTACCTTCAGTCTCCAGTTCAAAGTAAGTCGATTGCGACCTAGGTTTCAGCACGACGTTGTGCTATCATCAGGCTTCCAGTCAAAAATGTTCAGTCCATTGGACGTCGTTTAGTAAAAACTATATACAGTTCACAAGACACAAACACATACACATTTACCGATCGGTATTTACAAGGGGAGAACGAGTACATTTTGTCAAATCACCGGCCGCAACGAGTGACATCCAAGCCACCTCCCAGCAAGTTTGCGATAGTTCATGTTGCATATTATACAAGCCTAGTTGTGGCTTGGAAGTCACTCGTTGCGGCCGGTGATTTGACAAAATGTACTCGTTCTCCCCTTGTAAATACCGATCGGTAAATGTGTATGTGTTTGTGTCTTGTGAACCGTATATAGTTTTTACTACGCGACGTCCAATGGACTGAACATTTTTGACTGGAAGCCTGATGATAGCACAACGTCGTGCTGAAACCTAGGTCGCAATCGACTTACTTTGAACTGGAGACTGAAGGTAATTAAACCATTATATTAGTTATAAACCAGTTCAGGGGCAATTCCACAACTTATGATGTCAAAACTTACTAAATGTCGAGGGCTATAACTTTTCTATAGGAAAATTTGACAATAGTAATTGAAAGGCTTGAATTTGAAGTCCAGAATTGTATAGAAAATGTTTTTAGATTCTTAATTTTAAGCTGTACTGGAATACAAACTGAAATCAGTGTTTTTATACCAAAGTTATACTATTAACTGCTAGTACAAGAGTTATAACATAGCGACTTTAGATCAATTAGTTACAAGTTTAATCTTCTCTAAAAAATATTTGAGGTTTTTGGATTTTCACAGTGATATATATGTTGATGAATCCGAAGCTTACTTTTTGCTTCTTGTGTAGAGTAATGCATCATTGTTTCATTCTGAAGCATTAGTTAATATTTGTTGTCACTTTTGTTTTTGTGTTGTTATGCACCTTCTTGTCATGTGGTGTTTTTATTCTTCTTTGTGATTTTGATTTTGTAGATACTTTTTTTTTCTGAAAATGTTTCAGTTTACCATAATCAAACTACGCTTATTGATTTGCTTTTCTAAATTAGTATTGAATATCAGGTTTTGCAATTTCTTGAAGTTGTTTTTTAGCTAAGAACATTATTTATATTGAAAAATATCTATCGCCCATACAATTGGTTTCATTAATTGGCAACTGGAGTATTATTTAAATTTGATTTGATTGTACTGAATAATAATTAAGTAAAATGCCTTTGCTCATAGTTATGATTTAATCTCAAAATCACGAGTGAGGGTTTCAATTTAGATGTTTTTTTTTTTATTCTAGTTTCAATATTTAGATTACAAGGCTTTAACCATTTAGGATATTTTGTTTCGATTCAGAATTATTGACTCTCTTCTATGGACAAAAGCTTAGTGTGACAACATTTGATCTAATATCGATTTTACTATATGTTGTCTTGAGTTTTTTTTTTTTTTACATTTATTGTGCTTGTATGTACCTACAAATAGCATTTACAACAACCTATTTTTTCGTACGTATTGTATCTTTCCAATATTTTATAGATTATTCCTATCCTTTTATGTAACCACTATGTGGTTTTGAAACAGAAATCAAACGAATTGAGTACCTAAAATATAATCTAATCATGCTAGTAACCTTTGGTGTTTGAATTTTAAGCAGATTCAAACTAATTCGTAAATCAAACCAGTAAATTAAGTTTATGGAAAGTTAATATTATATTATTGTGCTACGCTTATAGTATACTAAGTTTTACAAATAAAATATTACACTTTTCCAATTAATTTTTGATAAATTTTATTTTGCCCTACATACAAATATATTCTAAGATCTCTTTTTTTGGTGAGATTAAATGAAGAACAGGTTGAGTATATGTGTTGGAATTTAGCTCTTCATATTAATTTTACTTTTCCTCTTAGCCCAATATTTTCAATCCAATTCAATTCAAATACAGTGAAAGTTTTTAGATAAAAATTCCAGAGACAATGATCTTAGGATTTTCCCAAAAACCCCATTGGATTCAAAGAGCAGCCAGTAATTCATCTGACATTTCTTTATTTGCAAAAACTTAATTTGAAACCTTGTGTGAAAGTAAATTGTAATATGATGACAATATAGAAATAATTTTTAATGTTGAATCAAACATTTTGATGAGCGATCCAAGGCGTTGTCTCTGGTTAGAGGATTCAGGGTTCAAATCCAGTTGTAGGCCTGATTTGCAACTCATGAGAAATCTGTAATAAAGTGTAGAGGGAGAGACACATGTAAAATAAAATGGTGGACGTGTTAGGTGAAACCATTATGGTTTGCCCTTCAAATGAGGGTTCTGCTACTTTTGGTCATCCTTTCTGTAAGTTTGTCCATTAAAAACTTATTTGAAAACAGTTTTGCATTTTGTGTTCATAAGGTAAACAATTATTAATAAACAATATCATCAATCCGACACATACTTTCTCCCATTAGGTGGGAGTAACTATGATGTTTTATGGGCAAATCTTAAAAGTAATAATAATTTTTAACTGTAATTTTTACAGTAATGAGGTTATTACCATTTTTTTAGGTAAAAAGAATATAACCTACTAAGTTTTAATCGTTGTAGTTATTTTTGTAAAAATCAGACCTTTTTGTTATTTTATGGGAAAATTACCATTAAAAATTAAAATGAAAAAAACCCTGAAGATACCATGGATTAGAACCAAGTCAGCAAATTTCATCAAAATTATACCACAGGCGTGGCTGTATTTCTGTACACACACATACAGACATCACTTGGAAAATCAATTTTTTTCAGGTTGGTAAAAAATAGATATATCCACCCAAAACTTAAACTCGAAAATGTTGATGAAAATATTACTTTTTTCCATATAAACGTGTATAGGGGGAGAGAGTAAAAAATGCATAGTTAAATCACTGAATAATTGAACAGTTCTAAGAGGAACATTGTAAATCTGTTGTGGTAGTGAATTTACATAATTATTTATCAGGGTTCATTTTTTTTTACAGTTTTGCACCATTTAGGCAGGTATAATGGAGCAATTCTGTAGTTCTACTTTGTAAACATATGAAGTCTGTGGGAATTTGTCTTTGACAGGTTTTATTTTTTTTTTTATATAATGACACAAACATAATGTTTCTCTTGCACATAATTTGTGTTTAAAGGGATATTAGACCGTAGTGTGATTAGCATGTTCCATATTTTGTTTTGCTCTTGTGTTTTTGTGTGATTTCATTTATTTGTTGTTTTCATTTTCGCATAGAACAGTAACTGGAAGTTCCAAGATATAGGTGTGAACCTTGCTTGAGTAGTGTTATTTCAATAAGTTGTTGTTTTGGTGAGTAGTATTTTGTTCCTAAGTATTTAGTTTATTGTTTATCACTTATTTGAAACAGCTAAATATTTGATCATCAATCGAATTTGCTTCATATCATTAATTTTTACATTTCAATATGGGTTACAAGTTGGTGAAGCAACAGTATAGATTGGGAAATATAATTTTTAATAACAAACATACCGTTGTTTAGAATGTTATTTCTGTAATGGTATTTATTATATGTATTATATTAAAATCAATTTGTGCATTTGCAATACTTTGAATCAAAGGAATTTATTTTTAAGGCATAGTAAAAAATAATATAAATAAAATATTAAGCCACTAGTTTAGAAAATGGGTGTTTTCTGGACGAGAATGGTTGTTTCCATACCCATAGGATTACCATACGAGTGCAGTGAGTAAAATAATTTTGATGTAAACAGCTGTTTTCAGGAAGCATTAAAACAGTGTAGTGTGGCAAAAAAATACATTAATTTGTTATCAATTTTTCTGATACCTCATTAAATCCTTGGTCTACAGCTCATTGTGTTATTTTTCAGGAGTTAAGAATGCAGACGTATGGGAAAGATCGAACATTGTTGTGGACGAAAGGATGTTAACTGATCCTGCATCTATCACAAGATATATTCACTACAAGGACTCCGAACCTCCGAAGATATTCAAGGAAACCACCGTCTAATCTTCCACCAGCACAGCATTGTAGTACAGATATAATTTTATAAGATGGCACTTGGCTCCTCTAGAAAACATCAGGCACTGTTGTCACCCTTCATCCGTAGATTGCTTACCACCCCTTAGACAATTCTATTAGCACGGTTCCGTGAACAACCTAGTTCAAAATCCAATAATAAAATGGCATGTGATGATTAATTATGCAGTATTCTCAAAAATAATCTAACAATCATTTATGTTCTTGTCTCATTTAAATTGGATTCCTTGAACGGTTTTATAGAGTTTAACTTTAAGAGAAAATGAAAGTTCACTGGAAATAAGTATTAAAAAGAATATTTATTTCACTTTGTAGTGATATTCGTTTTCTACTATACATTGAGAAGTTAAAATATAATAAACATAATAACTCTTTTCCACTACAAGGTAAATTAAAACATAGGTTTATTTAAATCTCTAATTAAAGTCGAACCATATAATAAAGAAATATTTTTGAAACAATATTCACTACTCCATAATGAAATATAATATTAGTATTTTCTGATCCTGATCGGTAGATTTAATATCAGATGCTTTTATGTCAAATGCGAAGATTATTTGGTTTGATTTACAAAGCATGAATGATAATGAATGAATGATGATGATTTAGTCCAGACAAATTTGCT